ACAGACTCACTAGGAAGAAAGTAATTGAAATTATAGGTAGAGATAACTTTGGCGAAGCGGGAGCAACTATTCAAGAGATGGAGGCCGTATTTAAACAGTTTAAAATTCCGTGCAGAATTTATGCTTGTTGCAATAAATTAATTTACAAATGCGATCCCGATATAAATAGTAGGCACATCAAACCATTTTATGCAATGGTCAAAAACAGTCATATTTACGCACTAAATCACGACTTAAAAAGCATTCAGCAGAAACAATTAACAACCAAGATACCAACTGTCAAAGCCTCCACTGACTACTATATTAATGAAAGAGAAGAACCACCGCTTTATAAAATGATAAGAAATATTGACGATATACTAAGTATCAAAGTTGATGAAAAAAACAAAAGAGATATATTTAGTATCCGAAGACAATAAGTTATCTGAATTATTTGTTAATTTAGTTCGTAGTGGCTACGAACCAAGAATTAGATTTCAAGCTGGTATTATATCAGAAATACAAATAAAATTTAACAAAACAATATATATAATAAAAACACAAAACTTAATAAAAACTTCTGCAGATGGATGTATTGCAGTATGTGATGAAACTACATATAACAATATGAACAAAGCAATGTTTAATTTTAATAAGTCATTGTTTAACTTATCTCATAAATCGTTTTATAATGACATTGACATTCAAATTTTAGACGAAGCCAGAACAGTTGTTCCATCTGGCTTATTGCGTGATAGGGGCGATATCAAAAATGAAATCGAATTCGATATATCAAAAGCATTTACTCACGCGTTTATTACTATATCAGAAATACCAGTATTTAATCAATTCGACATATGGCGATCGTTTGATGATACAACTGATATTTATGATCTACACGACTTAACGTTATATTATATAGAAAAGAAAACTACTATACTAAAACGGATAGGAAGAATGCTATTTAATATAAAATATTGCTTAATATATGGTATATGTTTGAAACAATTAGATAACATGACAAGAGAACGAATCAATATTTTATGCTTTAAACAACCTTCATTTATTCACAAAGTCGATCATAAAAATATTGTTAATGAACTTTGGAACACAAACATTAGCGAAGACAATGAAGAAGATAAATGTATAAAAAAAACTGGTCGCAAATGTTAATTATGGACTTTTAGAAAAAGGGGGAGCAACTGATCAGAAAAGCACAGTGTTCAAAAATCTTAAGGAAGCAACAAGTTATCAAACAGAGTATGGAGGTAAAATACATAAATTAACACATTTCACGACAGAACAAATTACAGTAGATGAAGAACAATATACAGCAGACGAAGAAGAACAGGCGTCGTATTATATACTTAATTTAAAGAATACATCGCGCTTAAGAAATGGTTTTAGGTATGTAAAAGAACTACTGCTTCAACACCATCATTTTAGAATGTATCAAGATTATTCTAAATTACATCAAAATGGAATTAAAGTGTTCAGTGTCAAAACAGATGCATTTGTAATACAGCGATCGGATATAACAAAAGCAAGAGAGCTTTTAATCTTTAATCATGAAATAGGAGGTTGGCGAGTTTCAAATGACGAATCTATTAAATTTCCTACTGTAGATTATGAAGTTTCACAAAACGAATTAATACAAATACCAGTTTATGAAAGTAAAACTATTGATATTGTAGATGAATATGACACTGATAACATTATAGGAATTATTGAACAAAATAATCCTATTATGGTTCGTGGAGCACTACCGGGCACAGGAAAGTCATATATATGTCAAAAAATGGTTGATAAAAATTATAATGTAATTTTTATTTGTCCTACTGATAAACTATTACAGGCATTCGAAGGCGAAGCAATGACAATAAACAAAGTGTTCGGTATTAACTATGGACATGCTAAATTAGAACCAATTGATTTTACAGAATCTGATGTCATAGTATTTGACGAAGTTTATTTTAGTAATTTAAATATATATTGGAGAATAAAACAATTTGTAGAACAGAATAAGCACAACAAAATTATAATAGCAACAGGAGACACCAAGCAATTAAAACCAGTTCAAGAGATAACAAATACTCGAGACTATGAATTATATACTGATAATATTATAGATAACATTTTTGAATACAATATTTTGTTGCAAGAATGTAAGCGACTTAACACACAGGAAGATAAAGATAAATTAAGAACTATTAAAATTGATATTTTTGAAAATAAATTACCTATTATGAAAGTTATTGAAAAATACTTTGAATATACAACTGACATAAGCAAATCTATCAACAACATAGCATTTTTAAATACAACTTGTAAATGTATCAAATGAAATTAGAAAATTAGAAAATAAAAAAGATGAATATGAAGTATGATAATTTTTAATTTGTAGAGAATATACAACAACTAAAACATCAGTTTTTTAATGTAAATTTCAAATATAAAATTGTTCATATTGGAAGCGATGGAATTTTTACGTTGAAAAATGTTAAAACAGAAATTCTACAGTCTTTGCCAGTTGATAAAATAAGAAGTAATTTTATATTTGCATATTGCTCGACTTGTCATTCTGCCCAAGGCAGTAGCATTGATGATACCATAACATTTTTTGATTATAACCATTTTTTGGTAAAGAATTATCCAGAATGGATATGGACCGCAATTACAAGGTGTAGAGATTTAAACAAAGTCAAATTTTATAAATGTACGAAAGATATTGATGCTGTATTTAATCAAAAATGTATTATGAGTTATTTTGAAAGGAAAATATTAAATTACAAAGAACAAGACAGGAAAGCCAAAAGAACAATACCTAAAGAAGGTTATGTAAATGAGCAATGGTTTTTAAATAATATCACTAATCAATGTAATTACTGCGGATGCGGTTTTTCTATGGATATAAAAAAACGGTAATATAATGACAAATCTGACAGCGCAACGTACATCAAACGAGTTGTCGCACGAACTGAATAATATTATTCCTTACTGTGTTGGGTGCAATTGTAGCTGTAAATGATAATAATTTAAATAATAATTTCAATATTTCTTGTAAAATGTATTTAAAGAAATACAAACTATATATATATATTGTAATAGAAATGGTGGAAACCGAAATCAATAATTATATCAATAAGAAATGCTACGACTGTTGCCACTTCAAAAAAGAAAATATGGAAATATACAAATTAAATTTACCTAATGGTATAGCAAATAATATTATTGATTATTCAATGGATGAAGAAGATATATGCGAAAATTGTAAAACCTGGAGAGATAACCAAGCTATAATCAATTGTGTGTTGAGAATAAAAAAGAAGACATAATAGAAATGCTGAAGATGACATTTTGATATATTTAACTGTGTATGAAAGACCACCTTATAGTTATGTTAGAGCATTTCTGAAAATCAGCAAGAAAAAATATGAAATGGTTGAAGGTATATTGTGGATGTTGACTTATCATACAAGGGAAGGGTTTGATGTAAAAGAAGACATTAAAACATATATTGAAAGAAAAAAGTTTAGTGTCAAAAATACAGTAAGAGATACACATATTATTATTAAAATGATGTATGAAAGAGGTAAGATATATACACAATTTAATAGTCATCAATTAACTTATTATCCTGAAGTTACATTATATTCATACTATAATAATAACATGTAAAATATTATATGTTATAATTATATTTCAATATTTAATTTTAGTTCTTGTAAAAAGTATTTAAAGAAATAACAACTATATATATTATAATAGGAATGGTTGAAACCGAAATCAACAGTTATATCAATAAGAAATGCTACGACTGTTGCCACTTCAAAAAAGAAAATATGGAATTATATAAATTGAATTTACCTAATGGAATAGTAAATAATATTATTGATTATGCTTTGGGTAAAGAAGATATATGTAGAACTTGTAGAAATTGGAGATATTACCAAGAAGCAATCGAATGTAATTTGGATATTAAAAGGTTTAATGAATGAAATGTTGAAGATGATATTTTGATATTTTTAACTGTGTATAAAATACCACCTTATGATTAGGTTAAAGCATTTCTTAAAATCAGTAAGAAAAAGTATGAAATTATTGACTACATATTATGGGCATTGATTTATCATAAAAAGGAAGGGTTTGATGTAAAAAAATCATTAAGTCATATATTGAAAGTGAAAAGTTTAATGTTAAAAATATGGTGAGAGATATTAATAGTATTTTTAAAATGATGTATGAAAGAGGTAAGATATATCAATTAAATTATTATCCTGAACCTAAATTATAACCATACTATGATTATAACATTTATACCCTTATATGTTACAATTATAATGTAAGTATAGCGTTTTATATATTGAAGATAAAATCATTCAAGGAGGACCACACGCAACTTCGGAATATCCAAATGTTGAAAAATGAATAATTATTAAGTCTTCTCATTGAATTATTGAAAATTGTGTTTCTTATTGAATAATTCTTCTTAAAATGCTATATATATATCTATGTTGAAAAAACATATATTTTCTAAAATATTTTGGAAAATATGTGTTTTTGAAAATAACAATGTTTAGGTGCATTGAATTTTTCAAAAAATAATTCAATTTTCGTTTTGGTATGCTGTACTAAATTTTGTTTTATCAAAATGTGTTTGGACTGTTTCAAAAATGTTTTAAAATGGCTGTTTTGGGGCGCTTATTCAAAAAATGCAAAAAAAAAACTAGGGTGGACCCTGGACTTTGGGGTTCGAAAAAAGTTGCGCATGGCCCTACCTAACTAACAGTGCGTTGTTGTTGCTTGGGTTTGCGCTCAGACTGTGTAAACAAGGCTACAAGTGCGGTCATCTTCAAGCAAAGCTGTGGTGAAAAGCTGCGTGTCGCGATTTTGGGGTTTCAGGACGTTTCATGACGAAGTAGGACACGCGCTTCTCAAGCAGTGACACGACAAACATTTGCTTCAAGGGGCATGGATGAGTGCCGTGGCAAGTCCGATGCTGATGTGTCTACACAGTGCGCCTTCATTGTGTTGAGCCTCACCTGGCTACTGCGGATGCTCTTCTCCCCCCACTTCTTCATGTCGTGGTCCATGAAGCTGAACATGTCACCTTGGATCGAACACGCCCGCCTCCCCCCCCCCAAAAGACGCAGCAAGGATGCATTACCACAGTAAGGATTCTGGCTTCCACGTTGGTCGATCCCGGGTTTACTTTCATGTTGCCATTTAAGACGAGAAGCAAAATATTGGTGCCAGCTCCATTCCTGGTTGCTGACGTTGATTCTCTTATGACGTTGATTCTCAGAAACTGTCTGCCCTGCAAAGGCTGCCCATAGCGGCGGGCAACAAAACAAGGCCAACACAATTCAACTGGGGTCTTGACTTACACACGTGCAGAGGCATAACCTTCAGGCGGGAGGGAAAGCATTTTTCCCCCCTGAAAAAATCACCAGACTGGAGCTGCACCCTTGCTATAGAGAAGCCGCTCGGGGGAGCAGCCTCGCCCCGGAAGCGACCCATGGCTGAAGCAGATCTTTGCACAGGCCCCCACAAAGTTCAGAGCAACTGACTGACATCGATTCTCAAATTCCACTTCGCAGTCCCAACAATAGCTTCCATGCACAGCTTTAGCAAGGAAAACAACAAACATGGAAGTTTGTCCCAAGCAGCAGCCCGCGGAAAATCTGCAGGGAACACAAATCCATCACACCTCCCAAGTTCCGAGGACTTCATTTGGGCCCGCTTGCATCGCCGAGCCGCAGGGCGGCGTCATGAACTCTGCGCCGCAGCGCCTCGCCTTCGGCCTCAAACTCCGAGCGGAGCGCCGGCGACCGGCGTCGCTATCCGAACTCCGGCGCAAGACGTGGGCGTTTGACCCGGAAAGCCCCGCTTTTCAGTAGCCGCCCTTGGGTTTGGCGCAAGGGAATGTGGGGGGGGAGGGTACCAGGGTCAGATGACCCACAACCACTTGAGTTTTGGAAGTTACGGAAAAATACAGAGACAAAACCAATAAACGGAAATCGGGGAAAAACACAGAAGGTTTTCAAAAATGAGACATACCCATTGTTGTTCACTAGATATTTTTCTCAAAGAAGAATGGAATGGAGTTCTGTTGGAAGATCTACCACATTGGTCTTCCTTGGGGTAGTCCAAAAACTCGGGAGAAGGCACCTGCGGATTTCCCGACAGATTCTAGGCGAGGTTCACACCGCGACGCAGAGTTGTTGGCAAATGGCAGAATCCTAAAGAACAAGATCGTGTTTCTTCCCAAACTCCATGTTCTACCAGGCGCGTGTGACTTGCTACTGACTCGAGTCTGACTAATTGTGGTAATGGACAAATTGCAGCCTGAGAATCGGCAAAACTGGCACAGGTGGAGCAGGAACCGCAGCCAATGCAGGTGGCTCGGGCACCACAGCCGGCCCAGCTGGTTCAGGCACTGAAGTTGGCGCAGCTGGCTCGAACACCGCAGCTGGCGCAGCTGGCGCAGGTAACGCCACTGGCGCAGCTGGTTCAGGCACCGAAGTTGGGGCAGGTGGCTCAAACACCGCAGCCGGCGCAGCTGGCGCAGGCACCGCAACCGGCGCAGCTGGTTCAGGCGCCGAAGATGGCGCAGGTGGCTCAAACACCGCAGCCATCGCAGCTGGCACAGGCACCGCAACTGGCGCAGCTGGTTCAGGCACCGAAGTTGGCGCAGGTGGCTCGAACACCGCAGCCGGCGCAGCTGGCGCAGGCACCGCAACCGGCGCAGCTGGTTCAGGCACCGAAGTTGGCGCAGGTGGCTCGAACACCGCAGCCATCGCAGCTGGCGCAGGCGCCGCAACCGGTGCAGCTGGTTCAGGCACCGAAGTTGGCGCAGGTGGCTCAAACACCGCAGCCATCGCAGCTGGCGCAGGCACCGCAACCGGCGCAGCAGGTTTAGGCACCGAAGTTGGCGCAGGTGGCTCAAACACCGCAGCCATCGCAGCTGGCGCAGGCACCGCAACCGGCGCAGCAGGTTCAGGCACTGAAGTTGGCGCAGGTGGCTCAAACACCGCAGCCATCGCAGCTGGCGCAGGCACCGAAGTTGGCGCAGCAGCTGGCGCAGCTGGCGCAGGCGGCACTTGTAGCGCAGGCACTGCAGGCTTTAAGGGACCTTTCCAGCTGCAAGATGCTTATCAGCGAACTGTTTGTCACAGACCCCAACTGCCTTGCAACGACGTCTGCCTTTCGCGGATCCCCTCCGTGGCATGTCTGGGCTATATGCAATGCTCCGTGTGAGGTTCCAACCTTGAATGCGGTATACATGTGTCACGTCACGCCAAAAAGCCACGCAAGGAACCAGCGAAACAAAGACCACGAGCAAGTGGGGGGAAGTGTCCGTTGGCCTTTACGATTGCAATGAGCTGCACCAACCGTTTCCATCACTTCCCATATGCAAAACGGTTCGAACAAGCAGCGCCCTACACCCGGCCTCGCAGACTGTCCGATCGGGAACTGAGAAGCAGCGCCGCGAGTAGAGCAGCAAGAACCAAGGAGACGTGCTGACGGCCCAGAACCATCAAGTCGCATGGCTAGCGGCGACATCCGGCGACTCATTTCTGTCCATAAACCAAATGTGCCTTTGCCTACGACTCAAAAATGGGGAAAAAAGGAAAAATGAGAGATTGCAACCACAAGCATACTGCAAATTGGCGCGTTAACTCAATCCCACCTCGTGCCCAGTTCCTCCCATTCAGAGAGCCAAGCTAACAAAGCTGAACCCCAACCCTGCGGCAACCCCACTGCCACTGCCCAGGCCAAATCGTGCTTGGGAACTGGGGTTGTATACACATCGAGAGTGTCCTTTGTTCTTGTGGTTATCTGAAAGTCAAAGACTGACATGGCGCACAGCTGGTCTATGATTGGTCTGTGGCTGTCTCACATCATCGCGCTCTGGATCAAGCGTACTGAAAAGCATACTGAGCCCGATTGTTGCGCGCAACTCTCCCTGCAAGGAAATGCATCCATGTGCCACACCCCTCTCAAAGCGTTTGGGGAATGCATGCGCACCTTTTGCAGCTACGGATACGGATGCCACCCACCAATCTTTCCCTTCCATTGCCGTGGCCAGGTTGTGGAAGGTCCCTTCCCACAGCACCACGCTGCACGGATTGATGGGCCGCGCAAAAGCGCCAAAAGTTCTGGTCCTGGGCGCCATCGGACGTGGATCGCAGCTGCAAAACCATGCCCTATATTGAATCGGATATAGTCAGCAGTTGGTATACATGTCCAAACACACAGCCCACAAAGGCTCCAACATAGGTATGGCTCGTTTGCAAAGGCATTGGACACCTGCTTGCAATGTGAGTGCTTGGCAGGACACGCAGCACAATCATTGACAGTTCCACCCGAATTGGCCTGTCAAGACTGTAGATGCCTGGGCAAAAGCTGTCAATATCAAAGAATTCAATCTAGGTGAGGCAACAAAGGCATCTTTGTCACCACCGGCACGGCTGAAAGCCGTCAATGATCGAACGTGGGAAAGGCTCGCTTGCACCTGATGTCGCAGCCTGCGTCGGGCTGCTTGGCGGCGCTTGCAGGCCAGGCACTGTCGGCTGGCTGCTAGGCCAAAGCTGTGGAATTGACGCACTGACGATTGGCTCTGCTTCGGGAGATATGGATGGACAAAGTCTCCGTCTTCATGCCCTGGCTAACATCGATCTTTCTGCGCCCTGCGCCGAAATCTCCCCAAACAGCGACGAATAGCGAGGACATGAAGGACAAATAGCGCAGACTGTGCAAGACGACGTGTTGCCGTGCACGCTGTTGAACTGCAGGCAAAGCCCAAGCTTGATGAGAGTCATGCTCTGGGTCCACGCCAGATCATGCTGCTTTGTTCTATGTTCATGGTTGGGATGTGTTGCTGATCTTCTACGAGCCACACTGATTGCACGGACGCACCCAGGTTAACAATCGAATACAACCTAAAAACAGCCTGCCATTGACCTTCCAGATGTCAAGGAGCTTCAGCATAACATCAACTTAAAATACCTGCTTCAGATTTGCAACGAAAGACGAGCAGGTCAGAGGAACCTAACACTCCTTGTGCAGCAGTGGCGCGGTTCCATCAAGAAGCTGCAACACAGAAACACGAGGCAAAGTCTGACACCGCACAAAAGGGCAATCAAATAATATAACATTTCACAAAATAATGAGATGTGGCCGTCTGCGTTGCGAAGAAACAGCTTTGGGCACACTTTGCGATCAACCGAAGCGATTTGTCTTCCCAAGGAAGGTCCAGCTAGCAGGGTCTACACATCATTCGGAGGAAAATGAAATCATTGGATCTGGCGCCAAACAAATGCGCTCCCTCTCCTGCGCCTCTCATGCGCAACGCGGCCTTGCCACGTTGGAACCCATTGGAGGCCAAGGTGCCGAAGAGACGTGGCTTGTTTGTGGTTCCTGTTGACCCCAAGGGTCCATTCTGAGAAGCCGAAAAAGGCAGTGGTACTTGGCCAAGCTGCCCGCTCTTTTGCTCCTCGCCCCCTCGGCGCTGATTTCCGCGGCCAAAGAGGCCTCACACCACCACCTCTGTTGGCAGAGGTGGTCCTGATGGTGGTGCCTTGCGCAACTTCCAAGGCAGAAGTGACGAGTCAGCATTCAATCAAACTGATGCACTGAGACAAGTTGCACCTGCAGCTGCGAGGAGCAGAAAACAACCGCTCACTTACATGCGTATCCACATCTGCTTGTGCATCTACAAGTTGGGCAAAAAACGGCGCCGCATGACCACCCCAACCACAAGCAGCAGCAGCAGCAGCAGCAGCAGCAGCAGCAGCAGCAGCAGCAGCAGCAGCACAACAACAACAACAACAACAACAACAACAACAACAACAACAACAACAACAACAACAACAACAACAACCATTCCACAACCGCACAAGCCATAGTGCCATTAGAGCCGCAACAACCTCAACAGCAACAACCTCAACAGCAACAACAACAACAACAACAACAACAACAACAACAACAACAACAACAACACAACACAACCACAACCACAACCACAACCACAACCACAACCACAACCACAAC